GGAAAGATAAACCCCTGCGTATCAGCTTAAAAACACTACAAGGGACAAAGGAGGACTAGATCTGCCTAACTTTCAGCACTACTTCTTAGCCAACAGGCTTCAGTTCATCACAGGATGGTTAAAACACACCCTCTTAGATGAGCCCTGGCTGGATGTAGAATGGGCACTATGCAATAATTTAAAGATTTCAGATCTACCATTTATCAGCTCAAACATCAAACGACATGAATGCCTTAAAACATCAACGTCAGCTCTTCTCTGACAGCTGGTGGGAGTTTCTAAGAAATGACGGAGTCTTCATTAATCCCATGCAAACTTACACCTATGAATGAAAGGCTTTATTTGCCACATGCAGGTTCCCCCGCAGTGGAATAGAACCCCACTGCGAGGTGTGTAAGTCGGGGACACACGGACATCACATGGGAATACAGGTCGGAGATCGGCAGCGTTACAGAAAGACACTGAAAGTACACAACAATGGGAAAGTAGAAGAGGAAAAAGACCTCTACTCGTGCTGAGCACCTATGGGAGGACAGCATGAGAACAGGAAACAAAAAAAAAAAAAAAAAAAAAAAAATCTCCTGGACAGAGCACATAAATGTCCACAGTACAACAATGGAGTACGTGACAAGCCACAAGGTTGGGTAGGGGGTGAGGAGTAATCCGAAGGAAACAAAGCAGTCATCCTGCACAGCGCTACCATTCCAGCGCGGCACACGGACCCGCCGTGTTCCCCCACAGGAAACAAGCATCGAAGGTGTTTGGAAAGGGAGGGGGGGGGTGTGGGTGCGTGTCCAGAGTTCAGCTGAGACGGTGTCCTCCGCCCTATCAGGCTAAGTAACAACCCTGACATACTACAGAATAATAAGATTAACTTCCCTTATTAACAAATTGTATTAACAAATTAAGTCTGTAATAAAAAGGAAATTTAAACCTTAAGTTGAACTACAAACACTGGGTGTGGTACAATTTCTTTATCTTAAAACTCTCAAATTACTGTCTCAAATATACCGTATTTTCAGGACCATAAGGCGCACATAAAAGTCTAAGATTTTCTTTAAAAAGTACGGTGCGCCCTATAGTGCGGTGCGCCCTGTGTGTTGTAAGGAGGACGTAGTAGAGAACACCATGAGAACGCTAAAGGGTGAAGTGTGGGCGTTGATCGTATATACCGGACAATCGCACATACCTGTATAAAAGGACAGGTATGTGCATTATGTGGAACATCGTTGTTTTAACAACCCTGGAAATGGCAAAGAGACACGCTTATGAAGCACAGTTTAAACTGAAGGCCATCAGCTACGCGGAGGAACATGGAAATCGAGCAGCCGCGAGAGAATTTAAGATTAACAAATCGATGGTTCGCAAATGGAGGAAGCAAGAAAACAAGCTCCGGCAGGTCAAGAAAACGCAGCTGAGTTTCCGCGGACATAAGGCGAGGTGGCTCGAGTTGGAGGAAAGACTCGAGCGGTGGATCATCGAGCAAAGAACGAGCGGGAGAAGCGTTTCGACGGTCACCATTCAACTAAAAGCAGTTTCACTAGCTGAAGAGATGAACATTGAACATTTCCAAGGAGGTCCGTCTTGGTGCTTTCGGTTCATGAAACGGTGCCATTTTTCCATCAGGACCAGGACTACGGTAGCGCAGCAACTTCCAGCGGATTATAAGGAAAAGCTGGCCATCTTCCGCTCCTACTGCAGCAAACACATTAGCGACAAACACTTCCAGCCCAGCCACATCACTAACATGGACGAGGTCCCGCTCACTTTTGACATCCCGGTGAGTCACACTGTGGAGAAGAAGGGGACCAGCACGGTAGCGATACGCACAACGGGGTATGAAAAGTCTTCTTTTACTGTTGTGCTTGGCTGCCATGCTAATGGACAGAAACTGCCGCCTATGGTGATTTTTAAGAGAAAGACTTTGCCTAAAGAGAAGTTTCCAGCAGGAATCATCATTAAGGCAAATGAAAAGGGCTGGATGGATGAGGAAATGATGAAAGAGTGGCTGAGGGAGGTGTATGTAAGGAGACCAGGTGGTTTTTTCCACGCATCACCATCACTCTTAATCTGTGACTCTATGCGTGTCCATCTCACAGCCGATGTGAAAAAACTAGTGAAACAAATGAACTGTGAGCTTGCTGTCATTCCGGGAGGCCTGACAAAGGAACTCCAGCCGCTGGGCATCGGTGTGAACCGAGCGGCGTGGGAGCGATGGATGACCGATGGGGACCACAGTTTCACTAAGAGTGGAAGGCAGCGCCGGGCGAGCTACGCCATAATTTGCGAATGGATTGTAGATGCTTGGGCTAACATGTCTGCTGGCACTGTTGTTCGAGCTTTCGCAAAAGCCGGCATCATTTCCGAGGAGCCGCACGGCACGGAAAGTGAACCTGGCATGTTTGATGGAGATTTAGCGCAGCTGTTCAATTCAGACACAGAGGATGAGGACTTCGATGGGTTTGATGACAATTACCGGTAATAAAAATGTGAGTACCAAACTCAGTTTTGCTCCCGCTTTATTTTTAAACACGCATACTTGTATGCGCCTTATAATCAGGTGCGCCTTATGTGTGTCTTAAATACATTAATGGCACACATAACTGAGACGGCGCCTTTTAGTATGGTGCATCTTATTGTCGTGAAAATACGGTACAGGACACTCTCTAAGGTAGATCAGAATCACTTCAGATTACAAAATGGGAACCATCAGTCAGCTTAGACCAAACCTTCTGGTCTCAGGTATGCTTAAAAACCTTTTAAATTGATTAGAAATCCCAGTCTACAATGAATACAATACAAAATATTATATAGTGCACTATACAAGTCATCGGATGTTCACGATGGACTTTACGTCTTCTAACAACTCCTCACACTGTCAAGGCAATCCTATCCCCCAGTCATGTCTGTTCAGTTTGTAATCAGGACTGCCACAGTTAGTCGTTTAGTCACGATTACATCGACTATTAAAATTGTCGATGCGTCGTTTGAAGCTTTGTAAGATGCAGGAATAAGTAGTAGGATTTAAGAGTATAATAACAGACTGGAACAGAAGATGGCAGCAATGCATGTGCAAGGATGCCAGCTGCCGTTAAACCCCGAAGAAGAAGCTGTCTCTGGTATCGTAGCTGTGTCCAGATTTTGTGGTGGCATCCTTCGGAGGCCGCATTTGTAGGTAGAGCTGGGCGATATAACGATATGTATTGCGAAATAACTTTCTCGATAGAAAAGTTAAACTATTGCGATAGATCTCGCCGCTCTTGTCCTCTTAAAAAAAAAAAAAAAAGAACAGCCAATCCAAATTAAGTAGCGCAGAGCTGAACCAATCACAGCCGCAGCGTCACGTCACGTGACTTGTTACATACAGCACAAGTGCCAAGCCGCACATGTGTATTTGTCTGGGAAGCAGCCAGCCGCCGTACTGCCCGGGTAATGGAGGAAATGAGTGTGCCGACTAGAGAAACATCAACAGAGCGTGACCGAAGGTTACTGAAGAGAAAACAGATGATGGTTCCAACGCCGGAGAGATTGTCGAACGGAAAGGCCAGAGAAGTTCCGTAGTGTGAAGGTATTTCTGCTATTTCAAGTCTGACAAAAAACAGAGCAGCGCGCACTGTAAATGTGCCGAAAGCAAGTCTGGAAATACAATAAAGCGGTGCAGCTCAGTCTCTGACTGGAAGCGCTGATTCGTCATTTGGCTTTTGTCAGACTGAAGTAACTGTTACAACTGTTTGAAAAGCTCAGCTATACAACAAGGAGAGATCGAGAATTTCCTTTTAGTTCTCAGTTTATTTGATATTGACTGTTGAAAGATTTTATTATGTTTATGTATAGAAGTACATTTCATTTTAGGTCCTCTAGATGTGTTTGCTCTTTTTACTAGAGAAGTTACACTGTGCAAAGCTCAGCATAAAGTCTCTCTTCCACTCATGTGTCTGTGACGCAAACATGCTTGAGTATAAATAAAGGGTGGCAACGGCTGCGGAGTGTGAGTCTCCGTTTGAGCTCTCACCCGTGTGCACGTTAAACCTGCAAACCTGTCTGAGTGTCATTTATTCTGACCTGAGTTGCATTACAGGAAAACTCCTGACATTGACAAAAGTTAGTCAGTTTTGTCTGTTCTTCTGTAAAACAAACTAAGATTTATTTTTAGAATTAATATTTTGTTTCTAAGTGGAATTGACAGTTTAGTCTGTTTCGTTTGTTCTATTTTGAAACTTAAATGCTTTAGCGGCTGCCTTTTGTGTAGTTTGCAATATTTGCCTTTATTTATCTGAAAAAGTCTCGTGTTCCTTAAGTACATCTACCCTGTTGAACTTATTATGGGAAATAAATATTTAAATAAAAACAAGCTGCTGATTATTTCACATTTTACTTGTGAGCAACGGCACATTTAAATCTTACAAATATAGTTATTTGGCTTATATCGTGATAGATATCGTTATCGCCTGAAATGAAAAAAAACATATCGTGATATGTAGGCCGATTATGTTACAGATTTGAAGGATGGGTCGGGTGTATCCTTCTTGGCCCAACCTATCCCAGAATTTATAGCATGGCCCAGCCAATTCCAGTTTCCAACAATGGTAGCAGCTACCTAGTTTTAATATTACTCTTATTTCTCTTTCTGGGTCACAAAATAAACTGGGTCATCTGGAGAAGAGGAAGGGCTCCGTAAGGATGCTCTGCATGGACAGCTCAGCATTCAATAACATAATATACGACATCTTCAGCTCAACTCTGATGGAGATAAGACTGTGTACAGGGCGGAGGTAGAGAACTTGTCCACTGAAGCTGATCATCTTTAAAATAAAATAACTCTTAATGGGCTTCAGGAGGCACAGACAGGTTCACTGCCCTCATCTTAAATGGAGACTGGTGGCATTTGTCTCCATGTTGGCCATTTAAACTGTTAACAAAGTGTGTGTGTGTGTGTGTGTGTGTGTGAGAGAGTAATTGTATAACTATAACCCAGATTTTGGTTTACATTGTTTTTGCAGGATGTATGCTCTCCAGGGCTTAAGAGCAAGGTGTCCACATCATGCCCATTGTTGTAGATCCTTAATTACCACCTCATCATCTTCAAGAGACACAATGGGTTCCAATGTTGAACTTGATATTGGAGCTGATATTTCAGATGAACGACATTGTAAGAATCAAGAAGTGAGAAATTCAACAAACTGTGGACTGAAGAGGAAACGACAGCGGAAGATCTCTCCTTATCCTCACAGCCGTCAACCAACAAAATGTGAAGATTTTGAAGTTGAGAAAGCCAAATCATGGACAGATGAAATGTTTGACTTCATCAATAAAGAGATTGCCTTTTACAAGTCAGACGTAAAGAAGAAAGAGACTTCCAACGCTTCTGGGATTCAACACTGCACTGGACAACCTCTTGACCAAGACGGGTTGAAAAGCAGCAAAGGAACAGAATTATTTCCCAGCTCTAACAAGAATTATGATACATCTGCATCAGAGAACTGTTTAAAAGGTACACTAATCTCTGCTGTATAAAGTTTAAAACATTCTCCCAAAATGCATCTGCTTGGATCGAATTATGTCTGTAAAGGGTTGTCAGTCATGTTCTGATAACTGAAGGTAAAAGACATGCCAGTGTTGATGAAATAATGTATAACCACTCCTAATTATTCAGTACCTGCACCAAAAAATCCAAATGCTAGACTGAAGAATGTAAAACGAATTGCAGAGCTGGACAACTTTTCTGAATCACACTGCAACAAACCTGGAGTGGCGATATAAGTAACTTTCATCTCTTTATGTCCACAGATTATCAACATGTCATGTTGGATGTTGCTGCCACTTGCACAAAGAATGAAGCAGAGAGTCCAGTGACTGTGACAGCAGTGTCTGGGGTCACCGTGCCAGAAGAGACTGAGAAGTACCCAGGATTAACGGTCCGCTGCAGTTCCTCACAAGGAGAGCGTGAGAGACTCAAAGAAACACCAGGCACTCTACCTTTGTTATCCAAGCATGTGAGATGGGAGAGGGAGGATGTTAGCCTCAAACCAATTGAAGGAGTAGGTTTAGGCAGTGGGCCTTGTGTGATTGGTGGAAATCAAGATAAAAATGTAAACCAACTTCAGAAAATTGAAGACCAACACTACTGCCATGTTGAATCTAAGGATGCAGTTGCACTTTCCAGCCTAGATTCATTAACTGATAAAACTGAGCTTGGCAAAACGCGAGTCTCTATGTACCAAAGTGAACAATCGGTGCGCAACCAAACAAGCTATAAAAATGCTGAAGAGGATACAACTGGTGTGTGTTTACAGGCTTGTTTAAGCGCATCTCTTCCTTTGAATAAAGTGAGCAGTGGAGAGCTGTTCTATGTAACGGTTGTAAAAGATCCACAATATGAAGATATTTCAGACACAGAAAATTTATCGAATATGGACACGAATCTCCTAAACACAAATCAAAGGGACCCTTCATATGAAGATGTGAGTGAAGATGAGAATCCAGAAGTTGATGATGATGATAATGACGAGGAGATGCCTTCACCTTCATGTGACGTGTCTGAAGCCAGTAATACGCAGTTTGGACGTGTGCAGAGTCAGGCCGAGTTTCCAAAGAACCAAACACTTGGCATAGCACAAGATTGCTCTTGTCCATGTTTTGTTGAAACTGAGGATGGGTTTGAACGTTTCTTATGTCCTAAATGTGACGGTGAGAAACATTTAGATTGGCAAGCAAGCTGCTCTTTGAGCCCCCTTTCTGACGCGCAAGATCAAGAGGAGACTGATGAGGACGATGATTGGCTTGTTATGCCTATTAGCGTATTAGATGTTAAATGGGAACCAGCAGATGAAGGCCAGGCTGACCCAGAAACTGTTTCACAGCATGATGGTGAGCATGAAGACCAGGTAAAACAAAGTGACACAAATCCAGCTGTCTGTGAGGTACCCGGATCTGTTCCAAACCATGTGCCAGCTTCTGCTTTTTCCATGATGGAGGTTTTTGAAACACCTTCTCATCTAGCAAAAGTCATACAATCTAGAGAGACAATGCAACAGTCCTTCATGGTGCCTTCTTCCTGGGGCACAACTGAGACTAAAGCTCAGAGACCACAAAATAGGGAGTCACATAGTGCTCCTGATGACAGTTGTGAAACTGACGATAGTTCCGATTACTCTGCTGATTCAGGACGTAACTATCTGACCGTGTCCAAACAGTGGTTAAGTAACCTGTCAGCGCCTGCGTCAGCAGAGAAAAATGACTCTGGTTCTGAAAAAGAAAATGAAGACCATGAGATGGCAAACTTACAACCAAGTCAAACGGGGAACAGAAGCAAGTCTTCAGAAAAGGATGACATCATCAACCTTGATTCTGACACCGAGGATGAAGGTGTCCAAAGCTGTCCAGAGACAAAAACAAAGAGATTATTCTCTACACGCACAGAGAACAGTGGAGCTGCCAGCCTTAATCAACTGAAGAAACCTTCTCCTGAAACTGTGGAAGGAAACTGTCAAACCAATGGACGTACATCTATAGATTTATCCAGATGTTGTGACGAAGTGATCCAGAGTGGGAACCCTGACCTTTCACAAAGGACAGAAAAGTGTAATAATACTGGATCTCACCATGGTAGAAAAGCACGAAGCATTTCAGATGATCCTGCTGTTATAGTAATATCTGACACAGAGGATGATGGAAACCAAAGCAACAGACATGTCAAGAGGAGAAGTGGACTAATCTCTGAGTTGATGGGGAGGGATGGTACTTCACAAGGTGAAAAAAGGAAAAATAATAAAACGCAGGACGGCAAGCATGAAAGTGCTAAAACGGAGACCAAAGAGCCTGGTATGTTTCCTGCAGACACAAAGTCTCAGCATCAACCCAAACTTCAACATCCACAGTTGAAAGAAAAGAGACGGGATGTAAGTTTTAGACTATCGCACAGTATAAAGAAGAGAAAACTGATTCAAGTTATAAGGCATCCTAAGCATTTTCAGCAAAAAGCCAACAGACCACCTACCTCAAAAACAGTGGAAACAGACATGGAAAAAGTCCTTACCAAAAGGAAGACCATTTCTTTAGACATGGAGAATAGCAATAGTACCTTCATGGAAGCTCAAACCAACATTTTTGCCAATGAAAACTCTCAAATCGGTCTGTCATCCAAAGACTCATCTGAGAAGCTTCTGATGTCTGGGGAGCGGGAGGTATACTCCACTAAAGCTTGCCACAAGCATGTTCAACAAAAGGCAAAAAGGACTTTGGAAAAAGCATTAGAAAAATGCGTTAACACACAGAAGAGAAGAACCATAGTACTCTCATCACAAACTGAGGGCAGCAATGATGCCTTACTTTATGCACAAACTAGTCCATCCTCCAAGTACATGCCTAAGAGGTGTCTCCAGACTCTGGATTTGAGTCCTAATCCTGTGAGTCCTCACTTTTTTGTTCAGAGAGCTTCTCAGCCTAGTGAGCACATGGAGCAGTCTACAGTCCAAAAAAATAAAACTCTGGTGACACCAGAAACCAGCAAAAACACTCGCTCCTCTAAAAAGGAGACGCAACATTTTTACAAAGAGATAAATGACAAGACTGGATACAGAGGAACGCGCCACACTGATACACACCATACATTACTTTCTAAAACTAATACCAGCTCAGCTAGTGCCAGACGACATTTTTCTTTATACAGTTTACAGCAAGCTCATTCCTACAGCAGCACCTCAACATTAGGTCAGTCTTACACTCATACAAAGGACCCATCATCCTTTACATGCATGCAGCATTCAGCCAAGAAGCAAGTGTTTAATGACAGTCAAAAGAGCTTTGTCCCAACCAGGAGAGATCAAAAAACTAGTGTGGAGAGTAACCTACGAGCCCAGAACAGTTTCAAGTCAATGAAGAAAGGTAGATGTGGTGATGATGTGGCACACAGGCGGAGACGCAGCTTCTATCCGTCTGTACCTCCTCTGATGAAGAGGACCAAGTGTGAAGCCATTCAGCTGACCAAGGCCAGAAATCGGGACACTCCACAGAAACAAAGTGTGTACTTTTGAAGTCTTTAAAGTGTTTTGGATTATTATTCATTAATTATTCATTTAGGTAAAGTAAAAAATTATTTTAAATGTGTTTAATCTCACTGCATGTTCCTAAACTTGATTCTAAATGTAGGATTCCCTGTGAGTGAAGGCTATAAGTGGAAGAATGAAACAAGCTTCATGGCTAACAGAAGATGATCCTCAACAATATATACACGGACTGCATATAAAACATGAATCCGGCTTCTGGCCCAAATGTAAAACTATACATTCTTACGTTTCTTTTTTGCTAACAGCCCTGAGGGAACTATTTTGAGTTGTTTCAGATGTTTGTAGAGGTGCCACCATTTCTGTCTTTGGTTTATCAAAAGCTCTTCTGTACAGTACAGCGGCATTCATATAAAACTGTAAAATATTCAATATTTTACCTGTTGTCAGTGTAAATATGTACGTTTAATTAATGTTATATTGTTAACATGTGTCACCGTTGTCATTGTTTGTTTAAACAGGAATCTGTTTGCAAAGGCTACTTCATGCTTCACATTTTTACCTTGAAAGCTTATCTAGTACACACCAACTATAACTGTATTTTCAATTATACTGCTAAACAAATATGAGAAATCATAAATTGACAAATGAAGTGTACATGTTGCAAATTTATGCCATAAAATGTGCACTTTATTAAGAACATGGCACTGGTCAATGAAAACCAGAACCATCACCTATATATAAACCGTACATTAAAAATCACACCGAAACTTAAAATTTTCCTTGAAGTCCTTTCAAAGCACTTTATACAACATTCTCACATCTCAAAGGCTGATGGGGTATTGTCACCCTGCCAGGCAGTCGGTGTGGATACTCAAGTCAATGCGAGAACGAGGCAACGTAGGATTTTTAAATTGATACCATTAGTTTGAATCCTACAGGTAAAGTTTTCTGAAAATCTCGTGAATCAGTGATTCGTGAGATGAGAGAAAAAACATGTTCGCCAGATAAAATCCAAATGAATTCATATGGTTCAGAAAAATTATAGTAATTACAAAATGGTATGTTTCAGGCTAGAATGGCAAAGGGGAAGCTGTCAGTAGAGGAACGAAAGAGAAGGAACAGGAATGATCAAAAAAGGAGAGAAAAAATTAACAGCCAGCCTGAGTTGAAAGAGTTTCTCATAAAGGGAAAGATGGAGAAATAGAGTGAAAGAGGGAAAAATAAACAACATCAGTGATCTGAAAGAAAGAAAAAAGGCAGAAGAGAAGGTTTTGGAAACAAGCACAGAGACAAAAGGAGAGAAAGTCCAGCAGGGTCTAAACACACAACCACAGAGAACTTTAGGAATCAAGGAGCAGGCAGCTACTGGCTGGTGAACTATTAAGATGTAGAACTTGACATGTGCAAAAACAGAATTGTTATGATGTGTCTTGTGATATTATGTAAGTTGTTAAGGTTTAATTGTCATTTTGAAAGAAATAATATCTTGTTTTCTACTAGTGTGTCACCACCGTCAGATTTGTGTCACCACCGTCAGCACCTTGTCAACTCCATAATATGGAGTTTTTCTTTATTTTTCTCTTTTGGAGAACCATATATTTTCCTCCCTCATGATCTTCCAATAGAAATACGTAGTTTTCTCAAATGTGTAATTTGCATGCTGCTAAATATGATTGTTTCTTATAGAGATTAAATACAAGCTTCTGAAAATATGTATGACTGTAACTCTAATAATAAAAAGCCAAAGAATCTTACTCTTAAACATGGTTTTTAGTTTGAAAACATATGTGCATAAACAGTAGAATAGACAAGCTACTAATAGTCAAAATAGCTGAAACAACTTAATTTAGAATATGTATTTTTGCATTTCTTTGTGTCTGATGGTGTTGACTAAACGTTGCACTTCTCCAGCAAAAACATAAATTATTAAAAAATGTTACACCTGGGAGATTGTACCAAAACACGGTGAGACAGCCAAAACTTTGTGTAACAATTATATGTAAATATGTTTTTGAAAAATCAAAAAATATATTTTAGAAAATTAAAACCTGTTTTGTCCCTAATCTCAGGAATCACTGGAATGTGTTAACTCAAGAAGGAAGTAACAGGATATCCAAAGTCATCCCATAGGGGCAGCTACTAAAATATTGGAAAGCGTCAAATGCCTGTCAACTTTTCTGAAAAACACCTAGGACTTTTAAAATTATACCATGGCTTCATCTACTAACTGCAACCACCATTATTTTCTTTTCAACCGTCCTCTTACCAAATATCGTGTAGTGTTAAATGCAGGTAAACTAAATTAATAATTCATTACAAAGGTTGGACTTCAAGGATTTTCTTGTAGTCAGGGAGATAACCAAGAACCCGATGTTTTGACAAAGCTGCAGTATTGTCCTGTGAAGACAGGAGAACCTCCCAGAAGTACAACCATTTCTGCAGCACTCCACCAATGTGGCTTGTATGGCAGAGTGGTCAGTTGAAAGCCACATTTCAGTAAAAGACACCTTTTACCCTTTATACTGCCAGACCATGAATTGCAGCCTTTCCCCAAGCTGTCTGTGAATGGTACTCTTGGCCATTGATAGCAACAAATACTTCTGGCACAACTTCACCTACTTCCAAGGTGCATGAAGAAGATAAAGATAAATAAAAAAATAAAATATCCTCACATGAGAGCTATCTTTTATGTAAGAATTTAGAAACCAAGAAACCTCCAAAACTTAAATCCAATCTTGTCTTTTGCACAACCTTCACACCAAAAACCAGAAACATTAAAGAAATTATTTTAAAACATTGGATCATTTTGAAGGATATGCCAAACTTATTAGGGACCTTTAAAGAACCACCAATGATAACTCATAAGAGAGGTAAAAATATTAGAGATGGGCTAAAATGCCTTGATGCATTCACAATCATCCAGGTAAGTAAATCTCCAAAAGTTGATTTTGTTCATCTGGACGTAGCGTTTTCAGTGGGAGAAACATTTCGTAACTCATCCAAGTGGAGTCTCAGCTGACTGCAGGTTTCCCCAATCTTATAAACAGTACATTATGCAAATGTGCAAAACATTTGTAAATGTGCATGGAGTTATAAAAAACATATATAACTGTACATTTGTAAATGTACAGTAAATGTGTCCGGCTGGGATAACCACAGTTACTCAGGGCCTTCTTGATGTTCTTCTGCCTCCCTGGCTGCTGTGTCCGTGGGGATGGTGTTCGCTCTGTGTTGTAGCGTCCTGATGATGCCCAGTTTGTGCTCCAGTGGATGATGAGAGTCAAACCTTAAATACTGACCCATATGCGTAGGTTTCCGGTACACGTCAGCTTTTAGATGTCCCCCATTACTGATGGAAATCTCACAGTCTAAGAAGGCTAACCTGCCACTGTTCATATCCTCCCTGGTGAATTTGATGTGTCGGTCCACCACGGTTTCATCTGCCTCCATAATGACATCTCTCACCTTCTCAACAAAATCCAAAGTGTTCTGGATGTGGTGTTCAGAGCTGCCTACCAGCGGGTTGAGGATTGAAGGCAGAAACGTAGATGTTATAGGTGACCGAGTTGATTATACAGACAGTTGGCCTTAAAGGTGCACCCTGTTTATGTATCTTCGGTAAACCATACAGACTTGGTGGGTATAGCCTGTGGGATGAGGTCCGGTCGATAGCCTGACTTTGCCAAAGCTGGGACACGTAGTTTAATGCCTTTATTTTCAGGGCCGTGTCCACTTAATACTACACTATATGATTATATGGCACTTTAGTTAATATAAAGCATAGAATTGAGGCACTTCAAATAATTCCACCCCAACATGCCCTATGAAAGATTGAATTAATGAACACAGAAGTTTAATTAAATAGTCCTGTTGCAAGACATTTTAATAAAAAACATTATAAATCAGCTTAATTTTATAGGCATTGAAGCCATTAAACCCAGTCAAAGAAGTGGTAATATTAATTTTATCAGAAAGAATTGAAGCATTCTGGATATTTCGTGTTTTCGAGTTTACATCCTATGAGTGAGGATTTATTACTGAGTTTCTGTGAACTGTACCTTTTGTGTTTTTATGTTTTATAACTAGATGTTTTGCTTTGTCTCCCTCTTTTAATGTTTGTGTATTTATATTAACTTTTAATTTTTATCTTTTTTTATTTTTATATTAATTTATTTGCATTTTTCTGTGTAATTTTGAGCATTATTACTATAATACATGTGAGGAAATTTTATTGATGTATTTATTTATTTATTTTCCCCTCCCCCTTTTAATCTTTAATGGTTTAGTCTAGAATCTATTTGGGCTGTGACCTAACCAATTAACCAATTAGCCAATACCACCTCATTAAATATCAATTGGTCAGCTGGTTTATTTGTGAAGGTGTGATTGGTCCATTTGAATTTTTTTTCTGTTTCCAGACTTTTATTTAAACACAAATTGTTTCACATTTGACAATGACCCTGATGAAGGCCACAAGCTGAAACACGTTGGTCACTTAATAAAGTTGTTTCTTATTACTTTTAAGTGTTGCTGGAGTCTCCGTGTCGTTTAACTCTTGGATATTGATCAATGATCTTTGATCAGTGGTTGATGATCAATGGTCATGACAAATGTATATTACTGATCAAGAAACTGACCTCACAGCCCATTGTTCACCAGTGGCGCTAGTTTCAGTCATTGTGCAAACATCGTCCTTGTAAGGTTGGGGAAACCTGAAGTCAGCTGAGACGGAAGAAGTCACTTCGTTGAGTGACAAAAAGTTTCTCCTACTGAAAATGCAACGTCCAGATGAACAAAAGCAACTTTTTGGGATGGATGAATGAATCACCTGGATGATTGAGCATGCATCAAGATGAGCAATCGTTAAGGATGGTAAATGGTAAATGGCCTGTATTTATATAGCGCTTTACTAGTCCATGTACAGTGTTGTACATCCTGAGAAAGACAGAAAGCACTGGTGAACTCAATGCAAAAAATATGCAATGCTTTTGTTCAACCCTCTGAATTAAAGCTGAAAGGCTGCACTTGAACTGCATTCAAGTGGTTTGATTCGAAGATCATTGTGGTAATGTATAGAACCAAAATTAGAAAAAAATTGTCTCTATCCAAATATTTATGGACCTATCTGTACATCTCACTAGTTTTCTTTCTTTCCAGTCTTTGAAATCAGATCAGTTTAACTTGATTTTTTACTCTAAAAACTAAGGTTTAATTAAACCATTGTTAGGATGAAATATTTTCATATATGGTTAAGATCTCCTTTTATACTTTCATATTTTTATAATGCATTTCACTACTTGTTGCCTGTTTCAAGTTCAGGGCCTAATATATATAACCAACAGCATGCCCCTATTAGGGTGAGTTCAAGATTGATTGATTGATTGTGTGATCATACTTTATTCATCCCGAGGGAAATTGGGTTAAGGCTGCCAGCCATGCCAGCGCCATCTTACCCTCCGACCATACATACATTACACAAACATC